GACCACACACTCCACCGTCTGCGCCTCCACCAGCGAGCCCACCGGCGCGTTCGCGAAGACACCACCGGTGGAAGAGGAGCGCACGATACACGCAGGTCAGTCGCACAGAAAGCAGACAGCTGCAGCGCGGCACACACAACAACAAAAAACCAACACAAAGGCATACCTGTCAGAGTGGTGGGGCACATTCCACTGAGAGAACGCACCACCACCAAACGATGCAACCAAAGAGAACACCACCAACGCCATTGGCAGCCAACACAACACACAGCCCCGATACGCCACACCAAAGAGCAAGACATAATTGCGCCCCAACACAACACGTAAACGTAGGAACACACACGCAAAGCTGCACATGCGCAAAGGCCACCAAAGCAGAACAGACAAGACGACAAACCGGCACCTCTGAGCACGCAACTCACTCAGCACGTGACAACAGCGCTGCCCGCTCACTTACACGCACAATTACTGCACTCCCAACCAGCACACAGGAGGCACCAACAGCACAACATTCAAACGCCAGCTCAGCAGCAGAAAAAAAAAAACAACGGTCTGCTTCACAGCACAGGCACTACAACACAAAGCCATCTGCAACCACTCACGGGTTCAGAGCCTCATTCATTGAGTGCCCACGTGGCCTCACAACATATCCGTTCAAATCCACAACTATCTCCACCACCAACACCACAGAAAGAACAGCATGAAAGAAAAAAAAACCGATAGTGCTCACAACACAGCACTCAGGCAACCTGCACAGCACCACGCATGCACATTCCACCCAAAAGAAAACACCACACTCAATGAAGAGAGAGGGCAGCACCAGCTCCCCATCACCGCAGTCGGGGTCGTCCTCACATTTGATGCGACGGTGCAAGGGAGCAGCAATGCGTGCAGCAAGTAGAGAAAGAAAACTAAAAAAAGAAACAGCCCAAGGGATGACAATTTGTCCAGTGCGTCTCTGCCCACGGAGGAGCGTCATCAACAGCAGCAACGTCTTACCAGCCGTCCACAGCGCAGGAGCGGTCCCCTGCACTCACCGCCGGACGGGCTGCGGGCAGCGGGGCGGGGAAGGCAGCGGCCGCCCACACACATCAGCGGAGAGGCACCCACGACGCCGACTCCCAACACCAAGCCACACAGCACACACACACACACAAAAGAAAAAGAGAAGCTTATCAGCAGTAAGAACTGCGTTACCCAAGAGAAAAAAGAAAGCGCGTGAGGCATGCCCACGGAGCAAGAAAACAAAATGCGTTTAACACCCACCCACACCAAACACAAAGACACTCAATGCGCCATGATCGCAGAGGCGACCAAGACGGCCAACACAAGCGGCATCAAAGCGGAGGCAGCAGCACTGCCATCAGCATTCAGCTTCAGATCAAGGTTCCTGCCGTGCGCTGTCACGATCCTCTGGCGGCTATCACCATTAGTAGCATGAGTGGTGCCGGCTGAGAGTTTGGAAACCACTGGTGTTTCAGTGTCTCCTGTTACTGCAGAGGTGCTGGTCTGACCATCCTCAGTTCCTGAAGCAGTCGAACTTCTTTCTTTGGTGGCATCAGTGACGGTTTGACCCACGGGCGCCTCGGAGCTCGTCGTGGCAGACGTCACCTCCCTGTCGCTCGTGTCAGCTGAACTCACGACTGTGACTTCGGTGCCTTGGGTGGCCGGTGCAGTCTGAGGTTTGCCGCCCTCCGGTTCTGCAGCTGTGGGATCGATGATGTGCCGGTCGACAGCCGTGTTGATCCGCAGAGTTGACATGTCCGCACCGAGCTTCGACAAGCTTGAAACACCACTGGCCGTGCTGCTCTCAGCCTCCGGCAGCATGGCGGTGCACACGTCCTCGTACCGCGGGCAAGCAATGCTGCCGCCCTTGGCGAAGTCACCATGAACCTTCAGGAACTTCCCCTGCGGGCACAAGTAGTACGTGGGGGCACCAGCGTACTGCACGTACACCGACCCCTCAAAGCACGCCACGTGCACGCACACGTCGCCAACCGCCTCGCCCAACACCGTCAGATCATTTCCTCTAACACACCGCGAGTTCGCGCCGACCAGACTCCCCGGCATCTTGCTCCGGTTGCCATCAATGCAGCTGAAGCCTTTGTCCGCCACAATAATGGGGCAGTAATCCATCATGTCCTCCCGCCTGCCACCAAGTATCTTGCCACCCTCGGCATTGAAGTACTTGTACGCGTCTGGAATCTCTTCGTACGTTTGAATGACACACGTCCCCAAGGCTTGACGGTCAGACGTGCATCGCAGTTTATCATCATAAGAGCTGTCACAGAACATGGCAACGTTGTTTGATACGCCGTTCGTAACACAAGTCTTGTTCAGAAAATCGCATCCAGCGCCCCTGCCCCACCGCATCGGCTCCGCCTTCGAATAGTCAACACTGTAATACTCCATGTCTTCGAATGCTGAAAGTGTTATAGCTGTGTAGCGTCCAGCGCCCACAAAACCGGCCATCAACTCGTCCTTAGCATTGCGCCGCTTCCAGTGGGAACTCACACCCAGCATTGTGTACAACTCCCAGTCAGCCAAATTTCGTCTACGCTTTTTAGACATTTGACTGGCAGCAGCTTCCTCTGCTTGAATTCCAAGAGGAACAGCTGACCTCAAATCCAACTCGCCGTGTTGCGGCCATTCGGCGGATACCTCATCGCTTGTCCACACAGTATCGTCCTCCATCTCCATGCCATAAAACCTCTTGCATTGGTAGTGATACTTTGCCCATACTTTTGTCTTCGCCGCATCAAAAACGAAGACCTCTTTTCCTCGGGCTTCCTTGATTGATATTCCAACCATCTTAGCTTGTTTATGCATGGTCTCCACGTTAAAGCCAAGTGTGTGCGCAATCTCGTGTGCGGCGACGCGGACGGCCTGCGACGTGCGTGCAATGTGGCGCGGACTGTAGTTGATCACGCCAATCAGCGGCCGCCCATTGGGGTGCACCGCGCACGTCGCCGCCCACGCAAAGGCACCATCAACGGCCGGCGCAGCAGTGGCGTACAGCACCATGTCGATGCCTTCAATACCCTTCGTGTGGTGCTCTTCAGGGATGTTGAACCGGCCACAAACAGTCGTATCACTGTACCTCGGCACAACGATGGGGCTCTTCAAAGGATCTACGGCAAGCCGGTCGGCATGCAGCTTCACAGCCTCGTGGATAATTGTGTGTTCCAGAATGTTCTGCTTCTCTGGAGTCATGATGTCCTTCGCGGTGCACTTCTTGTGTTTCCCGAATACATTCAAATACTTATCATCTTCTTTGGTGCAGTTAGAGCCCCTGATCGGATCTACCATGAACACCTTGATGCGGATGGGTTTGCGACCAACACGTGGAAACGAAGGTATGCTTGGAACCGGAACACCATTATTTGTAGCCATACCTTCGGCAGCTTCCACCTCTCCTGACGTCTCAGCCATTATCGCATTGTGTGTCGATGAAGGGCTTCCAGAAAACAACACTTTTTTATCTTTGACGAGAACATTGACGTAGTCGTAAATGCAGCGGTGGTGCTCCGTCATTGCGAGAGTGCTGCCGGCGCAGTGCACAAGGAGCAGCAGCGTGACGCCCAGGAGGCATCGCATTCGTTGAGCGTTCATCTTGGTAAGCTTTTTCATCTTGTGGGGGCGAATAACAGAGAGTGCAGAAGAGAGTGTGTGAGAAAGAATTGAAGTAAGACGCCCATGCATGCATAATCAAACCTCACGTGTCCACACGGTGAAGCATCCACACAGCAGAGGAAGGAGGGCACAGCAACCACGTCAAGAAGTGGGGGTGGAGAGGTGGTGTCAGTCACGCACGCAATGCGCATCACTCAGCTCAGGCGTTTTGTTAGGATGTGGTGGTTCAGCCTCACCACGAGGGCACACGCTGGGGGGCCACGAAGGGCCAACGAGGATAGAGACAGAGAGAGAGGAAGCAGACACTATGGGAAGCGGCCGATCAGCGCGCCAAGGCACTTGTCCACCCGAAGAGGGCGAGACCGCACCGCCAGTTTGCCCTCCGCCTGCAGTAGCCGCAGTCCACAGAGCGACAAGCAGCTCAGCCGCAGCCAAGTGGGAGGCATCAGGCATGCCGGTTTGTTTAGAGCGCAGTCGTTGTGCAAGAAGGCAGAGAACCAGAAGGGTGACCAGACCACAGTGTACTTATTGTTAATCGGCATAGCTCGTGGAACAACACATCATGCCACTGTGCATCCATGCCAAAATGGACATTTACTGCGGCAGAGGGGCACCATCAACGGTTATCAAGCTAAATGAGTGTGACGTGCTCGTTAGTTTACCCCACACCGCATCAGTCCAAGACAGCAGTCGGCTCATCCGTTTGTCCCACAGAAACACCGAATCAAAACGGCGTGAGCAATAGCAGTGAGGGATGTACTTGCTAAGACAAAGACGACCAGAATAAGAAATGTGTCTTACCACCACTTCTTTTCCTTGGTGCAGAAAGCAGTGGCTTCATCAATCCGTTGCCGGCCACACGATATCCTGCAAGTTGCAGTTAAAACGACCGCAGGTTGCCACGCCAGGAGTTCACATGCTGCGGTCTTGTTCACACCCTCTCATCGACTCGTAAGCGTCATTCCTATTTGTTTCTGAGAAGCCACATTTTTCCCACTGGAGCAGGTGTTGGCTGGCCCTTAACCGGCAGGACATGCATACACCTCTTTGTCTACCTCACGACGGACCTCACTGAGACCCAACTCCCTCAGCAGCACACTATCTGAAGAATGAACGAGAATGTTCGTAGCTGCACCAGCGTAATAGCAAGGGACACAACAACTTGAGATAATACGGACGAGCACGGCAAATGACAGGGCAGTTATTGCTTTCGTGAATAATGACAAAAAACATCCAATAGCACGTCAAAAGTACGCACGCAGGCGCTGGCTCGCCCTCTCATTGCGCCGTGGAGCACGGCACCACCAGAAGAACCAACAGCGGGAACGCGAGTGGAAAGAGTGGGAAGCATGAGGGGTGATCAGAATTTCCCGGTACAAGTGTCAAGCAAGGAAAGAAGAACACAACTCGCGACCTGGCAATGCCCCAAGAAGAAGCCACGCGATATTAATGAGCCCCCCATGTCGTACAGCATGTCGTGCACACACGCCACACAACGCTGGCCACTCATTGGGGCACACGATGCCCGGTGAGAAGCCTTCCAAATCCGAGGAGTCACGGCCCACTCGCGTTGAGAGCCGTGGCGCAATTATCGGTGCTCGGCCCCCCCGCCACGCATGGGGCGTCGTGCGCCACAGCGCTACCAACAGCGNACTCGCGTTGAGAGCCGTGGCGCAATTATCGGTGCTCGGCCCCCCCGCCACGCATGGGGCGTCGTGCGCCACAGCGCTACCAACAGCGCTACCAACAGCGCCTCCCCGTGAAGCGGAGGGGGAGGATGAGGCAGCAGTACCATCGCTGGCTAGAGGACTCTTACGCAANCGTTGAGAGCCGTGGCGCAATTATCGGTGCTCGGCCCCCCCGCCACGCATGGGGCGTCGTGCGCCACAGCGCTACCAACAGCGCCTCCCCGTGAAGCGGAGGGGGAGGATGAGGCAGCAGTACCATCGCTGGCTAGAGGACTCTTACGCAACAATGCGATCCCCCTCCACAGAGTAGCTCTGTGAAGGGGAGGAAAAACAGAAACAGATCACTTTTTGGAGAGCAGTACATCCGCTGGGGAAACAATTCAACACCGCCGAGAAGAGACACAGCGGTGCGGTGCGCAGACAATAGAGAATTCAGAGTGCATCCACACACTGCGTCCAGTCAGCTGGTTGTCTGAATGGCCTGCGGGGCAATCGCCAAACCTGACGCGGCTTCAGCCTCCTGTGATTCTTTTCGTTCGTCTTGCTGCCTCTGTCGCTGTGGCCTCTCCGCTGCCCACTCGGCCTCTCCGGTAGTCCGCAGGGAATCGCCAGCGTGGTAGCGAAGGTACTGTCGGTGCGGCTCGGG